GGGGGGAGGACTTCTGCGACACCGGGACACAGGAGAGGGGAGAGACACAGAGGAGGGGCAATCTGACCAACACGGCTACCGGGCGCACAGTCGGACAGGGGCCAGGGCGAAGCCGGGGCGGGAACTCACGGGGAGTGGGTGGGCCTGCGCCGCGGAGCTCAGAGGAGGAGAGTACGGAGGGGAAAGGGGGGGGGGGGGGAGAGGAAGGGGGAGGAGAGGCAGTTGTATGACGCGCGTTCCCCCCGGGGGCAAGACGCGGCGGCCGACCGCGCTCTTTGAAAAAGAGCACTCGCGGGGCCAACGCAGGGCTGGGCGCATGGCGGATGGGGCACGAGGTGTGTTGGTCACGCCACTGGATTCCGCAATGTCGATGGATCATGTGCCCTGCCCGCACGCTTCGCAGGACACACCCTCCGGCCCCGGGTGCGGAAAAGGCTCTGTCGCCTCTGCGGCAGCCGTGGCGGACCATTAAATAACCGGGGCCAATATACCCTTCTCTTTGGGGGAGACCGGCCGAGCCGGGAGTCCGAGGCTGCTCCTCGGAGGAAAGAGCAGTCAACCCGAGCTCCCGCCCTGTTCTTGCGCGGCTGTGAAAACAACCCCAGCTCCGGCCTGGGTCTCGTCGCGGCCGGGCAGGCGGCGGGCCCCTCGTTCGCACTGCGGTTGACCGTTGTCTCTGCCGGTCCTTTTGTTTGGGCTGTTATCTGCTTTTGGAGCGACGTTCAGATGTGGGCAGTCGAGGTCCTCGTGCTGTCCCCCCCCCCCCCCCCCCCGGAGAAGGGAGAGGGCTGCCCGTGTGTGGTGGCTGTGGTCTCAAGCCGTCTCGGCTCCTTCCAGAAGGCGCTGCCGGGAAGCCTCTCGCCGTCAATGCGACGCGCGGCAGGGTGTAGGGTGATGTGCAGTGCATGGTGTGTTCGGGGCGCTGTGCGGAAGTAACCGAGGTGTGTATGTGTGTGTGTATGTAGCTGGGAGAGGGGAAGAGGGCTGGACGGCTCGCCCGCCTGGTCGGGCTCCCCCCCGACCGGTGGGTGTATTCCTTCCTTGGGTGGAGGGGGCGCGCGGGGCAGGGCCACGGAGCCCGTTGGCTTTCCATGGGCCAGGTGCCGGGCCGCCCCCGTCACCCCCCGGTCGGCGGGCAGGGAGAGGGGGGGGGGGGGGGGGAATGGGGCGCGGTCGCACCCGCGCATGTGCGCGCCCACGCGCCCGAGCGGTGTGCCCGTTGGCGCCTGGGTCCCCCGTGAGAGGAACCCCCCGGTAGGTTGGTTGTTCTCTTTCTCCCACTCTTGTACTGCGAGGCTTGCTGCTTCCCGTGGCTCCACTAGCGCCTCCCCCCCTCCCCCCCGGGGTGTGGGCATGCCTGTGTATGTGCGTGTGCATGCATGCGCGGGCGCGGGAGAGGTTACCGACACCAAGTTGCGACTTTAAGGGGATCTGGCACGAGTACTCCACCGACGGTGGACGGTCTCTTTCTCTTTTGTTTTGTTTTGTCATAACTTTACATTTAGAGATTATCAAAGATGGCTGTTCGTCTCCCTCCTCCTCCTCCTCCCCCCTCTTGCCTCCTTCCCGCCCCTCCCCCTCCCCTTGTTCCGCCGGCTGCGCGCGCGCCCCCCCCCCCGGTAGAGATTGAGAGACGCGCGTGTCTTTGTCCATGTCTCCGCGCTCCTTTGTTTGCCCTGGTCGGCGGGAGACCATGTCACCCCATTGCCGGACAGGAGGAGCTATTCGGGACGAGAGAAGGCGCGAGAGGCCGCGTGTGCACGTCGTCGGGCCTCCAAGTGCAGGGGGAAACTTCCTTGACTCCTCTCTCCCCCCAGGCGAGAGGGGGAATCTACGCGCGCGCGCACTGTGGACCCCCCGCCCGCGCCCTCTCGCGCTGCCTCTCTCTCTCTCTCTCTCCCTCTCTGTCTGTCTGTGTCGCGCCCGCTCCTCGCGCGCCGCCCACGCCGTCTCTCTCTCTCTCTCCCCCCGGCCAGGGGCGCGCACCTGCCCGCGCGTGGACCAGCCCCCCTTTGTCATCCTTTTCGTGATGTCGGATTCACGTCTTGACAATCCGCATCCGACGTCGTATCTAACCCCCCCATGCGCCTCTTCCGCGCCTCCCCTTCCCTCTCCCGTAGCTCGCTAAGGATCTCCTCAACCCCAACCCTCAGGCCGAGAAGCAGAAGCACAAGCTCGACCGCCTCGTCCAGAGCCCCAACTCCTACTTCATGGACGTCAAGTGCCGTGACTGCTACCAGGTCAACGTCGTTTTCTCCCATGCCCAGAGCGTCGTCCTCTGCGCTGGTTGCTCCGCCGTCCTGTGCCACCCCACCGGTGGTAAGGCTCGCATTGTCGAGGGTGCGTGTCTCCCCTTTGCGGTGCTCTGCTTTTCGAGGGGGGGAATCTATCGCCAAATGCGCCGGGGGATGGTGTTGGGGGTAGGGCTGGTGATGTGCTCTTTCCCCGCGCGCGGCCACGCCTCTTTCCTTGTCTCCTCTCGCTTGGTCCGGCGGAGGGGAGGCGCGCACGCACGCGCAGTCGGGACTGCTGCGCTTCTCTCTTGTTTTGTGCCCTGGGCGTGGCCGCCGCCGCCATGTGTCGCGTGTCTCTCTCTCCTCCGCGCGCGCGCGCGCGCAGGCACGCCGCCGCCGCTGCCGCATATGCTCACTCCGCTCTCTGACCCTTGTTTGTGCTTCCTCCCCCCTTTCTCTGGATCCCCTTGCCTCTCTCTCTTTCTCTCTCCCCTCTCCGTCGCGCGTGCGCATCCAGGCTGCCGTGTCCGCGTCAAGACCAACTAAATTATCTCCCCTGATTTGGTAGGCCCTTGGCTGTGTCCACCACGCGGTGTGTCTCTCCGCCTCCTGGTCTCTCTCTCTCTCTCTCTCTGCTCTGGGCCGCGCGTGTTGTGCGTGTCGTGCGCGCCCCCCTCCCTCGCACGCAAAACACCCTCATGGTCAAGTTCAAGTAGAGGTCTGAGACTCGGCGAGAGGGCCACACGCGTGCATCTTGTCAAAAGTCTCCCCTTACACACAATAATACCGCCATCATCTCACACCCACCCCGGCGAGAGGCGTGTTGTGCATATATTCATATGTGAGAGACTAAAGAACCCCTTCATGTGTTTTTCCACATCTCCCCTTTCCTCCTTTTCGCGTTTCCTCTTCCTCTCTTCCTCCCCCCCCCTCCCCGACCTGCGTCCGCGCGTTGTCCGTGTGTATGTGTATCCATCGGTGCCGCCGCCTGTTTTGTGTGCGCGCGCGAGAGTGTGTGTGCATGTCTTCCGCATTCGCCCAGAGAGGAGGCGGCGAGCAGCGGCACTTGCGCAGGGCAGGGGGAGGGGGCACTCCTTCCCTGGAGAGAGGAGGAGGCGGCGCGGGTTCATTTCCCTGCTGCTGGTCAGATTCCGAGGGGCCGTTGGGGGGATGGGAGAGGGGTCGTTCCGCGTCTTTCTCCTGCCGATCAACCGCAAGAGCCGTGTATATGGGGCCACACACACACACACACACACACACACACGCCAGGGGGAGATCCCGTCAGCGGATGCTTGGGCGGACGCCTGCGAGTGTTTTTTTCTGTCCCAGATCCATCCCCGGACTGCTTCTGCGCCGAAGCGGACGCACGGGAACGGACGCACGGACGGGCCGCCGAGATCCGCTTCTGCTCTCGATACCCTTGGGTCTGATGTTGTAGCGGGGAGTTCTATGCCCGCAGGCATCTTGTGTGATCTTGTGATGGAGATCATAGACGCGGCAGGATCTTTCCTTCCTCTCGTTGCCGCTCCCGCCGCCTTCCTCAAAAGGCCAGAGGCAAGGATTGAGGCAAAATTCCCCCTGCATCCTGGCACATTTCCAATATCACCCCAAAATGAAATGCAGTTACACATGGCATCCTCGGAGACCAGAATGTCATTACGAATGATGGGCATTCTACTTCCCGTGAACCATCCAGCTTGCGTTCCCGGCGGTCCGTGGATGTGGGGCAGCAAATCTGGCGAGGGTTGTGCTCGTTGTTCGTGCGTCTGGCTGCCAGGGGGGCTGCTTCTGGTTCTCCGGCAGTGAGAGGGGGGGGGGGTTGCCGCGCGGGCTGGCCCGCGTGCGTGTGGGCCAACGAAGGCTCTTCCCGGCCGGTGGGTGTGTGTGTGTGTGTGGGGGGGGGGTCGGGCGCGGGGCTCAAGGCTGGTTCGGGCATCGGCTCGCCCGTAATTGGTGCGCGGATTGCGCGGTGCGCACCCGGCCGTGTGCAGGGCCGCTTCGTTGTCTCCGCATGGCGGCAGCCCCTGCCTTGGGATGGGCCTCAGCGCATCGGCGAGCGCAAGAGGGGGCCGGCCTCGCGTGGGGGCATCCCTCCACCGCTGTGCTGGTGCTCCGGTGTTGCCGGGCGCGCCCGTGGGCAGCCTCGCCCTTCTCCTCCGGAGGAGAGGGGCCTCGCAGCCAGAGAGGCGGCGGCGATGCTCGTGCTCTGTTGTGTTCTCGAGGCCCGCGTATCGGGGCGAGGCGCTGGTGGAGGGGCCGGGGCGGCCAATTACACGGCCCCGGCGCGTCTTGGCCGCGGGCCAGTGGCAAAGGCCGAGGTGTGGGGCTGGTGCGGCCCCGGGGGGAGCACCTGGGAGGGCCATCTGGTCGCGGTGCCCCGCTCGGCCACCGTGCCGGCGCCGCCTCTGGCAGCGGGCGCGTGTGTGGCTGCCGGGCTGCCACCTCTGTCGCGCGGAGGGCTCGCCTCTGGGTTTCCGGACTGGCCCAATATGGGGGGCGGGGGGTTTGCCAGTGTTTGGGTGCGATTGTGTGGCACATGTGCCTGTGCCGGCCTCCGCCTCGGGCAGTGGGCGGAATAGGGGACAGGCAGGCGCGGCGCGGAGAGGGCATGATTGTCCCCCCCCGCGGTGGAGCCCCGAGGCACGATACCGCCATTGTATGTGTAGGGGGAGAGCAGGGCAGCTGAGGGGGAGGGGGGGGGGGAGGGAGCTGCCCGCGCGCGAAGGCAGCGTTAGATCCCCCCACTCCGCCGGGGGGGGGGACAGGCGCGGGCTGCTCGCGTGGGAGGGGGTATATAAGGGCGCCACACGGCGGCCTCCAATGCATGGTCTAGACACCGGCGGATCGGTGAACCACCGTCCGTCGGCCCATGCACCCAACGAGTTGTACGTCACCCTCCCCCCCCCCTTGGCAGCCAAGTTGATGATTAACATTTGGTCTGTGTTTCTGAAACCTTTGACGATATATATGTTTGTCTGATTGCACTCTCCTCGCCCTTCCTCCCCCCCCCTCTTCCGCGCTCCTCCTCTGACACTCGCTCTCCTCTCCCCCTCCCCAGGCATGGATAGCATCTCTCAGCATGCCGATCCCTCGCCCCCTCCCACGGGAGGGGATGAGCCTCTTTCTCTCTCTCTCTCTGATCCGATCCGGATTCTCCCCCCCCCAGCGGTAGCTCGCGCGTGCCTAGGGGACCCCTGGGCCCGAGCTGAGGTTGACCATTGCCCCTCACGTAGGGGCAGCCCCGGGTTGTCCTCCGCCCTCAAGGGGAGGAGGCAACCCCATGCTTGCCAGCGCTGGCCTCGCGGGAATGCCATCGAGCGTCTCGCCGAGCGCATAGCCAGGGCTCGCGAATCGCGCCGCGCGCCGTGTTTCTTCCTCCACCTACGGGGCATATGCGTATGCCCGGGGAAACACCACCCTCCTCCCTGCCTCAGCCTCAGAGTCGCGCCCTGATTGATCAGGGAGGTGGGTCCTCCTTTCTTTTTGATTGGAGGCTCGCGCGCGCGCGCGCGCATCTTCCTCCCGAGCCCCATCGGTTACATCCTCCCCCGGGTGGCCGGTGTGTGTGCTCTCTTCTGTCTGCAGACGAGGATGGATTCGCCATGAAGCATGGGCATCGTTCACACCTCCAAGCAGTCCCCCCTTCCTGCGCACGTCAGATGGGGGGCTGCTTTCCACCCTGGCGAGAGACTCTCTGGGGCCACGCGCCCCACCCCCTCTTGCGTCGTGTGCACACTCTTCATTTCGTGCCCCTCCACCTACGGGTGGTCAGTGAGGTATCAATCCTCCGTGGCCAGTTGCTTCACGAGCGAGGGCGGGTCCCTCTCGAGGCATCTCCCCGTGTCCCCCCTCATCGCGGCCGGGTGAGTCTTCTCCTCTCTCTGCCCTCTTAGAGGCCACGGCCCAGGAGGCGCGCCCCCTTCCCCAATCACCCGGGGCCTGCTCATGCTTGTCATGGCGGGGGCATGCGGCCGCGGTGTCCCCCCCCGCGCGCGCGCACGCATTCGGAGTGCATTTGGCTGCCTTTCTCCGGCAAGGCCCTGGCCGTCTCGGCTTCCACCCACCCCCCGGGCCACGCACTGCCGAGGCATGTGCTGTTGTTCCCTCGCGCCCTCTTCATTGGGGTTCGCCGATGTGTGTATGTCCATCATCTTCCTTTCTCCTGCGGGAGAAATGCAGCGCGGCTGCGCGATGCCCATTATTTTGGGTTGTGATGCGACGCATCCTTCCGGGCATCCGGATGGATGGCTCCACTCGAGCGTGTGGAAGTCCAGAGAGCGCATATCCGCGGGCGAGGCCCTCCCACCTGTGCCCCTACGCGGGGCGAGGGGGGCCGGCCATGCCTCTTGCTTTCTCCTCCAGAGTAGTAAGGGAATGTACACGCGGCTTCCTCGCGGGGCATCCTTCTACGTGGGGCGCCCCTCTGCATCTCACGGCGAGAGCGAGGCGGCAAGAACATGCGGCGGCCAGATGGCGCGCGCCGCGCCGGGGGGGCGTTTGATTTGCGTCCCCCCCCGGCGAAAGAGAGGCCTTCATGTGTCCGTCCCCCACCCCCCTCGAGGTGTGGTGGGCGTGAGCCTGGCGCTCTTTCCCGCGATTCACATGGTGGATCGCCGTTGTGCTTTAACCGTACTCTCCCGGGCTTGACTCGCCGCGGGAAAAGCACAACCCCTGTAGCGCTCTCTCGGCTCCGAGTGAGTACGCGCACCCCCTGTGCGGGGATTTTTTTGGCTGGTCGGTCACCAAATGGCCCCGCACTCCCCTTTTCTCTCCCTCTTTTCTCTCTTAAAAATTGAAAATGCTCCACATCCGCGCGCGGGAGAGGGGGCCCTTTCATCGGGCCGAGGTCGTGCATGTCTCTCTGCCTGTGCCTCTGCGGCTGTCCGCGCGGGGCGCGCCCTTTCCTTGCTTTTTTTCACCCCCCCGCTTGTCGCTTGCATGTGTGTGTGTACATGCGCCCGTGTGTCTCAGTGCCTTCCGTCCCCCTTCGTGCGCCCTTTTTTTGAGCACACCACCCTGGCGTGGCCGGCCCCGTCATGTGTCGTCCGTGTGTTTCCAGACAATAGGCACCGAGGATGGGATGGGGGGCCGAGGGGACTCATCGGGGGAGGGGCCGGAGCCGGACCGCCCGTTTCCTTCTTTTCCAGAGGAGGGAGGGGCACGCGGCACTGTGCTGCCACCGCCGCCGCCGCCGCCACATGCGTCCTTGTGTACGAATACAAAAGCGTCATGTTGTAGTGTCCCTTTGCAGATGGGAATCTCCCTGTGCCTGCTCAGCGTGCCACGGTCTTGGGTTTTCTCCCCGCGCCGGGATCTTTGGTGGTTGACTCGGGGGGGGGGGGGGGGGGGGGGGCGGGGGGGGGGGGGGGGGGGGGGGGGGGGGGGACATGCTTCTGGCGATTGTGCCAGGGACGGGCCTCCGCCATTTCTGGGAGTGCCCCCTCGTTCGGATGCATGGTGCGATGTTCGCCAGACATTCGTGTTTGTGTGTGTTTGTGTGTGTGTGTTCGTGTGTGTGTGTGCGGAGCGAGGTGTGTGAGAGAGAGAGGGGTGGCGTTTTCTGCATGCTGACACACTTCCTCCCGGCAGAGGGTGTGCAAACAGCGGCGGACCTCAGCCGGAGGGTGAGAGTGAGCAGGGGCATGTGTATTTTCATATAGTGTACAATAATGGGTGCGCGCGCGCGCGTGAGAGGGAGAGAGAGAGAGAGTCCCTCCCCCCGCGGCCGCTTCTATGGGGGAGAAGAGGGATCTGAGACAGGACCGAGGCTTACCGAGCCGGAAGGGAGAGGGCCGGCGCGGTGGAATCCCCGGACAGCAGAAGGCCACTGGAGCTGCTCAAAGGTGTGTTATCGACTGTGACTGACAGAGGGCCGTCAAGGGCCACGGTGTTGCCGCTGCCACTCGTGGCCAGATTGTCATCGACATTACCGCCCTCCTCAAGGCCATCGGGTGCCAGGGAGGATGCCGACGGGGACTCCCCAAGTCGCAGCCTCTTCTCGGCGGCCAACTCCAACAGCAGAGAGTGCCGCTCGGCGCCCGGGGCCGCGGTACCCTTGTTGCCGCGGGCAAGAGTCACCTTCGGGGAGGGGCCGCCGGCAGCAGCCACGGCAGGGCGCGACGGGGGCAGCATGGACGGCGAGGGCACCGCCGACCGAATGCCCACATCCGTGGGAAAGTCGTCGTCCTGCCCGGGGACACCGAAGCCGCCCTTCGGCGCCGGTGCCAGCCCCCCGCCTCGGGAGGCGCTCGACGTCGCCGACATGGCGGCCATCGCGGAGGCCGTCCGCCGTGGGAGCCACAGCCAAAGCTTTTGGATGCTGCGCCGACTCGGTGGCACGGCCCCGAACCACGTGTAAATGGCCATGCCAAAGAGGGCGATGCAAATGCCGACCACCTCGCCGGAGGTCGGGTTCGGTTGGTCCGGACGTGCTGGGAAGAAGAGCACCCCGAGCACGAAGATGAGGGCCGTCTTGAAGTGCCCGATCACTTGGAAGCTGAGTTGCACAGGGGGCATGCGTGTCAGGGATTCGGGTTGCATGGGCACAAGGGGGGGGGGGGGGGGAAAAACAGTGGCAGGCGCGGCATGAGGGTGACCGCGAAAGGAAAGCAAATGGCCCAACAAACAAATACACATCCATAATGGATGGGAGAGCAGGGGTGTGCTTGTGGAGAAGGAAGCCGGGTGTGGGGCCGCCGTGGGGAGGACGACATACGAGAGGACACTTGTGCGCGTGAGCACCCAGGCCGCCGAGAGGTTCATCGGGCAGGCAATCGCACAACTCAGCAAAACACCCATCTGAGGAGGGGGGGGGGGGGGGGGGAGGCCCGCCCGCGGAGCAAGCGTCATCAGTTAGCGGAAAGGAGACCGACGAGGAGAGTGACACAGGCAGGTGCACCTGCCAAAGGCGGCACGTACCCAGGTGGACAGGGACACCGAGGAGAGGGGCAGAACGCTGGTCGGCGTCCCGCCCGAGATGGAGCCGGTCATGAAGAGGCTGACCGCGCCGTGGAAGGCGGAGGAAAAGCCGACTGACCCGGCCCCGGAGGTGAGTGCCTCCACCACCGGGCCAATCAGGAATAGCGAAAGGGCCGCCGGGATGCCGATGGCATGGTACAGGCGCACGGGCCCGGGGATCGGGGCCGCTGGCGCGGCGGTCAACCGGGTGGTAGTGTCAACGCCAGACACTTTGGGAGTCGACAGAGCCATGGTCGGGGTCATGGGTTCGGCCCTCGGCTCATTGATCATGGACAGGAAGGCATCGTAGGCCTGGCATTTGTCCATCCCGGATTGATGCCACAAGGGCACGGCACCAGGCGCATCCCCAAGCACAAGCACGTTAGGATACACTTCCGAGGGCAGTCGAGGCACAGAGAATGGGGGCGACGAGGAGGGAGAAACATGGAAGAGGGGGGGGAGGGGGGAGGGGGGGAGAGGGACACTCGCGCACAATTTGCTGGACCGCCGTCGCAAAGACCGCCAACAAGGCCACAAGGATACCCACGCCGGCCGGGGCACGGACAGACTGGGCCGCGGCCGCGGCAGCAGCTGGACCCGCGGGCAGGTCCGCAGCCAGGTGATAGTGCGCCACACCGCCCAGGACCACGGCCAACGCCAGGGCCCGCGGCAGGCCGGGCCATGCAGCGCGTGGCCCCTTGACCAGCATCGACAGCACCAGAGCCGTCGGAGCGACAGCCAGCTTGACAATCTGGTACCGGGTCACCGGATTCAGCTGGAGGGAGAGATTTTGCAGACCCAGCGCCCCGGCCGTGCTCAGGACCGCGGCCAATGTGACAATCCGCCGACGAGTGGCCATGCGAGTGCTCCAGGACGATGTGACCTCCGGGGCCGGCCTCAGCGGCGACAGGGGTGGCGTCAGCCGGGGGCTGGGCTTCGACCCACGGACCGGGTACAGCCCAAGCAGGACCAGCAGGACAACGCCCTTGGATACCAGAGCTGTGCCCAGAACGTGGAGACCAGTCAAAAGGGAGCCTGCGTGGGGGGGAACAGAGGGCCAGCCGGGTGTGAGTCGAACAGCAGGGGACGACGATGGCACAAGGAGGGAGAAGAAGAGAGAGAGAGAGAGAGAGAAGCAGGGGGGGGGGGTGTACTTCGACCAAAACGCCCATGGACGAAAATCCATTTGTTGAGCATGATCAAGCCCACTGAGAGGGCAATGTTAATTCCGATGGCCAGCGAGGTGAGGAGCGCGCTCCTCCATGAGACGTTGAAGAAGCCCATGGGGCAGGAGTAGTCGATTCCAGCGCGCACGTGCGCGCGAGCGACGATCTACGAGTGGATGCCTTTCCGAAGGCAGGGGGGTGAGGGATGTGGAGAATGGGCCCGAGTCACCTGCAGAGCCGGGGAGTCAGGACAGGGGAACGCCAGCCGAGACACGGGGGGAGGAGGAGGAGAAGGAGGCGCACCTGTCGTCGGGCATTTCAAGAGAGCTAGTCTTGGGTGCGGGGGGCGAGGACGCACGCACACACGCACACACGCACACACACACACACACACACACACAACCTGACGAGCGCGAGTTTCCCGTGCAATCTTGTGCGGTCCAGTGGCGGCGACAAAGTAGGGCGAGAGCAAGGGGGCGGAGTCGCGTGCGGCAGGTGGGGGGGTGTACAGGGACAGGAGGTCAAGGAAAGGGATGATCGAGAGGCTGCCAGTGTTGGAGTACATATGCGCGGGTGGTGCGAGACAAGGGTATGCACCCTCTTCAGGGCGTGCGCCTCCGTTGCGCCCAGGGGCGGAGGGGGCGGGGGCG